AGGCAGTTGTTCTTTTCAAAGTCTAACACCAGACAGCTGTATCCCCTTCACCTCGACCGACAGCATGTGCGCCAATTCCAGAGGGCTGGCAAAAGATTTGCAAGAGGAGCTCACACGGATGTCCAGAGCCGTTCCTGGACATCTGCACAGGAATGAGGCTCCAGCTTAGGGCAGACTTTTTTCGGGGAGCCCAGGTCTCCCGACGGGGGCTTTTCCCCACCCTCGGCTGAGAAACATGCAGTTCATCTGCCAATTCGGGCTTCTTCACTCCATCTCCTGGTAAGTGTACCCCTTCCAGCTCTACGGCAACACCCCACTTCCAGATCCGTGTATTTCACAGGGCAGCCTCTAAGGAGTCCCACTAGCATCAAATCTTTCCCTCTTACTCCTTCCGGGACCCACGTTCCCCTCCACGGCTCGGCTTTGGCTATTCACCTCAGCTCTGCTTAGCGCTAGCAGCCCTCCTACAGCAAGCTATCCGGGAGCTAAATTCACTGGCAAATGAAACAAACAACCCCCAAACCCTGATGTTAACTTGTAGGTAAAACCACCACTTGTAGCTTCCCACCTTTCCTGGTCTAAACCTGCCAATTCTTTTCCAGGTAAGTTATTAACCTGTTTGGAATAAAAGGACAAACTGGGTCAAGTGAAAAAATCCCCCTGTAATTCACTGACACAAAGTGGACTGTTTTACACTGGACACCTGTGTCTTCACCCCCCAAAAGACTCATGGCCCCCAGGGATATCCAGCAAAATACACACATCGGAACGACCTCAAGCAGATATCCTGACTGGAGCAGGTCAGGCCAACAGCAGGGTGAGGATCAGGGAGTCAGGGGCTTGGGGGTGGGGCGAGAGTTAAGGAGAGGCCTGTCCATCGTGGGCGGGGGTGGACGCCAGGCTCCGGAAGGGGCACAGGATCATCCTTGAGGCCTCTTCAGGACTCCTAGGACTCCTGGGAAACCTGGGAAGCTGTGCCATCAAGCCAACCCTCTGAAATGAGAACAGTCTTCCAGGGGGACCCGCCCCCTACACGCAAGGCCTCCACACTGTTTATAATAAGCCTAAGTCACCCCTTCACCAGCCCGTGGTTAGGCCACCGAAACACGTTGCCAGATTTTCAAATTTCAAGTCAGGCAGAATGACAGAACAAACTCGCAAAATCCGAATTCCAGGCTTACTACTCAGCAGAGAGATCTAAAGTTTCATGCTCCATTTGGTTTTAAAACCTTTTTAGAACGGTGTCCCGACCCAACCCACCATTTGGATGCCTTGCCACCTTCCTGGTTTGCCACCTTAAAGTTAAACAGCTGCCTAACTCTCCCTGAGAGCAGGATTTACAAAAGGGTGTCTCGGGGTTCCCGGGAATCTGCTGTGGATTATTTTAAGGGTCACGGGGATCAGAGGATATTAGAGAGGACAAGGTGAGAAGTAGCCACTTCCAGACTTCCAGAGACATAAGAGGAAAAGAATACGGGAAGAAGAGCCTCTGCTTGAATTCAACTGGAAAAAAAAAAAAAAGCCCCCAAAAGGTGAAGTACATTTTTACAGCATGAGCAGGGCAAACAGCATAAAAAAAAAAGATGAGTCTGCCTGAAGCTGGGTAAGCTGAAGTTCTTGAAGAGAACAAAAGAGAATCACCAAGTCCCCGCCCCATGACCATTCTGCAATCACTTATTGACCGTTCCTGGGCCTCAGCTCTCCAGGGCAGAAAAAAAGTCCCTTTACATTCCACCAGAGACACCTCCGACGTTTTTCCCTGCTGATATGAGTTGCGTATCTCTTCGGCAATTTGCGAGAGAGCTCTGTTCACAAAAGCTCGCCCCGGCAACAGGTGAGCCGGAGGGAAGACGGCCATCCAGTGCACGGTGGGGCCGCCCTCCGGGCAGGTACCAGTCGTTAAGCGGGATGGGACCCCGGGGAGGGCCACAGGGGAATGGCCCGGAGGCCCAGTCCTGTGAGATCAGAGGCAGGGCCCACCCAGGAAGGCAACGAGGGCGCGTGCAAGCTCCAGCAAGACAGGGCAGAGGCAAGCCCCAACCGACACGTGGGGACGTGGGCTGAAAGCAGCAGCAGCAGCAGCAGAGGCCGGAGCCGGGCTCCAAGGCCCGGCTTTCGCTCTGGAGGCCCCGTGGACGGCGAGGAGCCCCGGGGCCGGCCCGGCCGAGACCCCGGCAGCCGGGAGGCAGGGCGGAGAACAGCGAGGCCGCGGGCAAAGCACCGTACCTCTTGGCGCTGGTGGAGAGGAGCTTGGAGTTTTTGCTCATGCTGACTTTACTCTCCTTCTTCTTGGGGGTGTTTGCGTCCTTCTCGGGGTGCTGGTTGGAGGAGGAAGACGAGGAGGAGCTGGTGCTGGCCCTCGAATCGTCATCCGACATCGCGAACCCCCACCCACCCGCCAGCGGCCCCTGCAGGGGGCGGGAGACAAAACCGAGGCGGACAGGCCATGCGGGCGGCGTCCAGCAGGCGCGGGCGCTGCCGGGGCGC